AAGCATTCTGCGAGATACATGAATACTCGTCTCAATGACGACGGAGATGCTTTTGAACAAGTTAGAAACCTCTGTTGACACAAAATTCGGGAGCATCGGAGGTACACCCATAGAGCTATCCTTACCACTGCTCGAAACAATAAGCCTTTCTTATTTCTGTACATCCGTAGCTTGCGTAGGCCCTCTCTCTGCTCCATGGCTCTCACTAACCCAGGCGTAACAATTGTCTCATCCCCAGCAGAGTTAGCGGATACCTTCATGTCACACTTCCAGAAAACATTCAACTCTCCTCCGTTGCTCAATCACCCCATTCTGCAGCCGCTAGATATAAAATCATTCCTAGGATACATCCGTTTCACACAAGATGAGGTTGAAGGGAGATTACGAAGCATTAATCAGTACTACTCCTGGGACCTAATAATACACCCCAGGTTGTTTGTGTAGTCAGCTGGTGTACTAGCTGCCCCGTACACTCTTCTTTTCCAACCAAGCATGGACGAGGGGACATTTCCCATAAACTGGAAAGAAGCCGTTAATTGCTCCGTCTACAAAAAACGCGGTAGACACTTCCCTGTTAGCTGCCGTCCCATTTCCCTAGTGAGCATCCACAAAATTTTCAAGCGTCTTATAAAAGATGAAATCCTGAAGCATCCTAGGGTCAATAACATTCTTTCTCGTTTCCAGCACAGATTTCCACCTGGCAGGTCTTGCATCACCAATATGCTGACTTTCATGGATAGCCTGACCAAAGCCTACTATTCCGGCAAGATCTCTCATGCCGTTTGCATTGACTTTGCGAAGGTATTTGACAAGGTCCCACACATCCATCTTTTCCACAAACTTGCAGCACACGGTATTGTAGAACCCTTGCTAGCACTCATTCGTTGCTTCCTCTCGAATCGCCAAGTTGCTGTGCGGTAAATCTTCAACACAGCCCAGCCCAATTACAACCGGTGTTCCCCAAGGATCCGTTCTAGGCCCCATTCTTTTCCTCATGTATATAAACGACATATATACCTCAGTGCGTCACGATACTCCTTTCCTTTTTGCTGATGATATTAAAATTGTGTAATCTTGTAAGCTTCATACTCCTACTGACACTTTAGCAAATATATCTGACGACAAACGTGCGCTCGACCAATGGTGCTCAACCTGGTTGATGCAATTCTCAGCAGACAAGTCTGAAATACTTACGTATAAATGCCGCATACCAATTGGATCAATTAATGTTAGGGGCTTACCCATAGCCAGTAAACCCATTATACGAGATCTTGGCTTAAACTATTTGTGCACGTTCAACTTTTCTGAACATGCTATTCTGCAAATAGCCAAAGCTAACAAATGCCTTGGTATCACATTCCGCTCCCTCAAGCTCAAAGAAAGTATTCTTCTCATCTATAAATCTCATGCCAGACCACTAATAAAATACTGCCCTATAATCTTCTCTATTATGCGTAAAGCTGGAAGAATTGCCATCGAAACCGTCCAGCGTCAGTTTACCAAAAGGCTGCTCGGATGGAGTTCACCCTTGAACTATAAAGAACGCTGCCTGTTGCTAAATGGATATCCCCTTTGGCTCCGGCGAATGAAACTAAACCTAGTTTTCCTTTATAACATTATTAATGATCAGCCCTATACTTCTTGCCCCATAAACTTTATACCTGATACTACCTACCCTTTGCGTCACAGAAACCTGACCCTTCCTACCCCAACTCGAAAACAAGTGTTTGAGCCCAATTTTTGTTAAGCTCTTACTCCCATTTATGGAATAAGTTACCCTTAAACATACGGTGCTCTACAACNAACATACGGTGCTCTACAACGAGTCACCAATTTAAAAACGTTCTTAACAAAGTACTCACTGTTTCACAGAGCTAACGGGCACGGGACATCCGTAGGTAGCGACCCAACGCTCAAGGAACGCCTTAGCAATGGGTTCGGCGGAGCAGTCTGGGAGTGGGATGGTGGTAGTGGCGTGGCATCCCAACTATTAGGATTCCTAAAACCGATGGATTTTTAAATATATTTTAGAAAAAGCCCTGTCGAATTCAGCCGAAATGGAACAGACTTTGCTTTCGGCTGATTCTGAGTGATTTGTTAAAATTTAATTTGTTTTAATTAACCTTAATTGACTTTGTCCGGAAAGTATAAATACCGCAGCCTAATGGCGACAATCACTTCCACGCTCATATCAAAAATGGCTCATGTTGACGATACGGTCGTTTTTGAACGAATGGTAAAAAGATTGCTATGGATCGTTGGACGGATTCTTGGAGGAATTCCGTGAATTCCAAAGAGTTATCTGCACTTCCTTCTACGTTTATGCGTCAATGACAGCCGAACAACTGATACGGGAAAGAAAGTTTGGTCGGAAACTGACTCTGCCTGAGGGTTTTCCGTACTATTTCATCAAATATTGCTGTGTACATCACAGGTGCTGCGCAACTGCAACCAGGTAATTACGCCTCTCATTTCTAATGTAATTAACCCATTTTAGGCTGCAAAATATCGATCGTCCGGCATTCGTTGGAATTCGCGCGGTCGGGAGGGAGTGCCGAGTGATGGAACGTTGTCTGGTGCACAACCATGACTTCCGTGTGGGTCAGCTGGGTCTGTATATAAGTAATCGTCGTCTATCTGAAGAACTAGAAGAGGAGGTGTGTACTTTGTTGGACAATTTTAGAATTACTCGCGAGCTAAGAGATTTCGCCACACACAGGTTCCAGAGACCCTAAACTACGGCAGATATAAGATCCTTACGTCGAAGAAGGTCTCAGTCAGATTCACTTGGCGATGCGGTGAAAGTCAGGGATATGCTGGAGAATCAGGGAGAGGTTAGGATAGGGCTGAACGAAGGCGTCGTTCGTCACATTTATTTTATTCCTAAAATTATGCTGCACTGCGTCTTCAGGTTTATTGATGTTTTGTTAGCGGACGCCATACATCAATTAAATTGTGGCGGATACGTTCCTTGGCATGCTATTGTAACGTTCCGCGCAGACTTGAAACTCCCGCACTAATGTGATGTATCTTTCTTCCCTCTTTTCCAGATATAGTTCCAAGAGTTTACGCACCGGAGCCACACAGAAGGTTGTACGATCAAGAGCCTAATGGCGAATGAACGTGGCTTAAAAAGATGAACTTGTTTAACTGATAAAACTGTGTTCTCTATCCTACCCCACTTGCGCGTGAGCGTGTTTACTGTACACATCTGGAATATACGTTTCCTCACTGTGACTTGTGACTTCTCTCTGGCTCCACCTTGTGTGTGCCTGTCGAGCAATCAGTCAGTGCGTTTAACGTACTCAATTCATTCCAGCTATTGTGCGTGCCCGTATCCTGAGAGGAATACTACATAATTGGCGACCCTGCCAGGATGCCCAAGAAAAGTGTACCAGCGTTCGAAGAAGAAGAAGGAGAGCATTCGATTTCTTCTGCAATCACGAGTTTCTTCTCGACAATACTTTCCTTGCTGAGCTCTGTCATTGCAGGTGGATTTGTCCGCACGAAGCCAACCCCTGCCCTCCCACAACCATCAAAGTTTTCCATTGGCGATAACTTCCGAAGATGGGCTGGTGACGCTCAGGATTATGTGACCCTATTTCCACCGAACGAGAGGCGCATCGTGTTGCTGTCCCTACTCGACGGCCAGGCAAAAGACATGGTCCGGGTCGAAGGCATACTTGACGGCGGGATCACGGCCGACACGTTCATCCAACTACGTCGGTGTTTGTGCAACGAGGAACTTCCCATTGAACACCTCCAACGATTTCAAGCAAGACGACAGTTACCCGGAGAACAGTGGCCGTCGTTCATCCTCGAACTTCGTCATTTGGCAGAAGACGCATTCCCCGAATTACCGGTGGCTGATCGCGAGGATAAGGTCATTGATCAATTGTGCATCGGTACGACAGACAGTTTCTTGCAACGGAAATTCCTAAAACAACGCCCTACCTCTGTCGCAGAAGCCATGGAAACCGCCCGGAGGGAGTCTCAGATCGAGGCAATGGTTCGACGGAACGAGCAAGAGGTTCTCGGCACGATTGCACCGATACAAGCACCGAATGCTGGACCACGGCGACCGCCATATTTCCCGAATCGGATGTCCTACACCCCTCAGCACAGAAGACCGCCACGCTTTGAGCAGAATACATCCGTCGCTGACTGCGGCTACTGTCGTCGGTTCGGCACGAAAGCCCAAGCTTGTGGGCATAACAAACCAAGTGAGTCATCCGCCATTCGTTCTATACCAATCTGTTTTATGAAAATCATCTTGTCACTCCTGTTACTCCACTGGTTGTGATTACTTTGTGGGGTAGGAAAAAACGAGCCTTGATTGATACTGGAGCCTCCTGCTCCCTAGTGCGCGCTTCGATTGTACCCAAGGATGTAGATTGCTCCAGACCCATCCCAACCAAGCTAGTCGCGGCCAACGGGACTACCATAGTTACAAAGGGTTACACATCGGCTACTCTGACACTGGGAAAACGTAGGTACTCACATCCGATGATCACGGTCGGCGAGCTTCCATGGTGTGCGATTTTGGGAATTGATTTTCTATCAACACATAACATTTCTATTGACATTCCACGACGACGGCTGACCGTAGACGAGGATTATGTACTGTTCTGTGATCCATACCTCTGCGGAGACAGATCTTCCCATTTTGCGGGCGTTTCCGATTCCTCGTCTCTCCTGCCACCATCATCATCTGATCCTAGTTACAGTGAACTAAAGGAAATGCTAAATGAATTTACTGACACATTTGCCTGGACGGAAACTGAAATCTGGCGGACCACGCAGGTGCAACATCAAATTGACACTGGCAAAGCCTA